CGATTGAAAAACAAGAGTTTATTAAGTTCCTAGATTTGCAATATTTGGCGCTGTCTAGGTCCTGCACTCTAAAAAGCTTGACGACACTCAGTGTTAACTAACATCGTTTCAAATCCGATTTGTTAATGAACAAATAGGTTAACCGAGACTTAATACTCCGGCTATCTTAAGGTTTTGGTGTATATGTTGTTAGGAAAATTTGCTTATCTTTGCATGGTCCATACGTTCTGTAAAGTCCCAACCCCTTAAATTCAAACTCTGAAGAGAAAGAAAAATTATAATTTGTTTAAAAAAATTGCTAAAACAAATCCCTTTGAGTTACCACTCATTAACCTCATGATTCATAATATGGCACCTCTAGCAAACGTGATTATGAGGAACAACTAGTCGGATAATTTCTCCCACGAGTCGTATGTCTTGTCCCTGAGAAACAAGGACTTACTCTCGATTGTTGAAAATATTCTCGTAAGGACAATTATTAACACACCTTGAAAACTAAATCCGCACAGTGGCAGCACGAGTTCCAAATGCTCTATTCAATCGAACGCCGGACGCGCCTATCCATCATGTACCAGAACGACGTACGTTTGTCCCGGCAAAAAAATATTCAGGATATTTTCTATTGTCACCTCCAGGTAGAACCACTGGCCACAGCGATGCTCCAATAATGGGATAATGAGCTCTTGCTGCTCTCCTCCGCTTATCACGAGCCGCTAAGTCGAAAATTTTACCTGACCCAGGTCGGAAGTAACTAAAAGTATATTGATTTAGTAATTATCCAAGCCATAAGCAAATATGACAATATGAGGTTTGAATTATCGCGATTCGTCGCTGAAGATGACATTATGCCCGTCTGCCTCCAGTTCAAACGTTGACGACAGTGGTCCACAGTCAGAGGAAGCACTAACCGTGGACGGTATGAAAAAGGTCCAAAGGCTCGAATGCGGCGATAGAATGTACCCATAGTAACAGGTCTACCTTCTTCTCCAAACCATTGGTCAGCAATCTGACGCGTAGTAACGAAACGGTCTCGCAGGGCTAATTGTTTGAAGCGCTTCTGTCTTGATGCTCCGTGGTACGCCTCGATGGACCAATTGGCCTTCTTCGTGTTCCTCTACCTTCTTCTATCCATACACGACACACGCATTACCGGCATTGCAGTAAATTGACAAGGCGGCCAATTTCGCGCTAGGACAGACCAACATCTCGATAGGCAACAATTCTACCCCTGTCAAAGTCGCTAACATGGTGATAATTTGGACGTCTTCGACCTCGAGGCATCTTGTTATTCTTAAAACTAGTAAATGCAAGGGCAATAACGAAAAATATCTGTACTACCCAGCTCTTCGAAACTGCTTTCTTCACAAAAACTAAGATATACCATTTTAACAAAGTAAACAAAAACAAAGATAAAACGTTTGACATTGTTGCCACAGCATGCTTTAAATATAGTCATTATCTTGCCAAAAAACAAGTTGAAGAAATTATTTTTTCTGGGTCTAACACTTCTTATATCGCTAAGTATAAATAGCTTTTCTGGACGTTTTCGTACTCTCCGTTATTCCCTATTCCTATTACGCTAACTTTACCACCCGCTGTGTATAAGTTGTTGAACACAAGGTGACGAGCATGCGAACTATACATACATATTTTTCCGTTGCTAGATAACGACGATAACGTGTCGCAGATCATATTTTGTATTAATCTGGTGCATAATAAACGCTTATGTGCCTTGCTGTGTTTGAGGCCGTGATGCTACGCGCACTAGGCTCAAATCATACGCTTCGAGTTAGAACCCCCTCTTTGCGCCCTAGATACACAAATAACTATTTGTTCTTGGAAGGTACTCCACAATATTTACTCCGAAAAGTTTATTCTCGTATGTCAGTAAATCCAACAATCCAAATACATACCCCTATTGGCAAATAATTCAAAAATTCCACAAAATAATTAAATTCTTGTGCGTCAAAGAAGAAAATAATTGTGTTATATCTGTTGGGCGCACTGTTCGAAAACGGCCAATCGTTTTTTTGCTCAGTCTTAGGATTGGACTATTTAAAACGACCATAGCCCGAAGTTCATTTCAATTTCGGGCTTTGGCCGTCTCCAAGAAGCCAAACCTAGGATCGTGCAAATACGAAACGACCAAAGCTTGACATACATTTTTAATGAATCAATAGAAATTAGGTAGCATTCAAAATCTGTGGAGGGGCCACAACTAAATTACGTAACGAAATTATTTCGACATGTTGATCCCATCTCCCCTCTATTACTTCGTAACACTTTTGGCAACCCTCCTTCTAAAATTACATAACACTTTAAAAACCAACCCCTCTTTTTTATTAAAAAAAAAATAAAAATTACACTCAACTGCAACGCGCATTTTATTTAATGGGTATAGTAGTTCCGGAAACATTTTTTTGGTATAAATTTGGCAATAAAAAAAATATATGGAGAGGCCATCGTGCAATGCACAATTTATTTTTCCGTGCATATAAACATTTTACATAACATGACTACTTAAAATAGAAATACAGAAATAATTAGCAAACATAAACGGCATAAACTTCTATGTAAAAACAACATTTATAGAACTAAAGAAAACAAATACTCGTATTAATTATTTATTTCTGCAACTCGATGATGAGTGGCGTTTTGAGTTTTGCATCTCACCTCTTTTTTTAAACAATTGCATCTTTTGTTTGCGCAATTGTTTTTACAACCACTTCTCACAAAACCTTGCTTTGATTGAGAGTCTTTAGCAGCGACAGTTCTTAGTCTTAACTTTTTTTCCAGAACATTCTGCATGTCTATGAACCTATGCTACTTGGAATTCTTTTCTTCTTTTTCAAGTACACCTGATAGTGTTCCAAGCTGATAGAGGTTTACTGTCTTCTTTCCATTCTATAACAACAGCCATCACGTTTCTTGGTGCAGCACGCCCTCTGTCTACATCTGGAATTCTAACCAAAACGTTTTGCCCAACACTAACAGGAGCAAATTTTTTGTTGGACCTCTGCAGCAATTCATCGTCTTGCCTTTTCTGGGAAGCGGATAATGGTTCACATGCTTTGGTAATTTTTCCTTGTCGAATGCAAATCATACATGGTTTTTTTGCCTAAAAAATATAGATGGGTAGTAATTCATTTGAAGTTTATTTATTTCTTTTACTTAAATAGTTCAAATATCACTTACTTCTTTTTCTTTGGCTTGATCACTTGAGGTTTTGTATGATATTGCATGATTTTCCTCTTCTACCTCTGAGCTGTTAGATACGTCTACATTAGCATTGTCATTCAATATGTTTTCCAGCTCTTCTTCTCCAGTAATATTTTGAAGGACCTTACGAGGTATATTTGAATCGAATAGGCCATTACGTATAGGGACCCCAAACATCACCTCATACGGACTTCTGTTTGTACCTCTATTGAATGATCTGTTTTTTCTTTAGCTGAGCAAATCGCAATCCGTTAGCTCAATTAGTGCTCTTGTTATCTGCCATCCAAGATACCAAAATATCCCTAACATCCTGGTTTGCCCTTTCTACACTTCCCTGGCTTTGACAGTTCCTTGGTTTACTGTGAATTATTTTAGCTTCGAACATATCAGCAAGCTCATTAATGACAGCTGCTGTGAACTATCTTGCATTGTCACTTTGGAGGACCTATTATACAAAAAATGTCTAAAAAAAATTGTAAGCTACCTCCGCAGATTTTTTAGATTTTAAAGGTTTTAAAAACATAAATTTTGTCAGATGGTCCTGATAATTTAAAATAAACTTATAATCTTCGGCTGGTATTGTTTGCATATCTATAAGATCCTCCTGCCCTCTTGAGTTCATGTTGTTGCTCAGAATTGGCTTGGCCCTTTCCTTTATGTTTTTTCTTCAACTGGCATTTTCCACATTAGCGTAAATAAGCATCAATTATATCACGCGTAATATTACATTTGAATTTCGGGCTTTGGTCGTTTTAAATAGTTCAAACCTAAGATTGAGCAAAAAAACGACCTTTGGCCGTTTTCGGGCTTTGCGCCCAACATATATACCTGTGATACATATAAAACGATAATATATAAACATAATAGTAAAAATGGTAAAATATGACAATCAAATTTAAATAGTCTTTATTTGAAACAGTTTCGCTATTTCACGTCTAATTTCAGGCAATGCCAATTTCATTGGCTAAATTTTGAAAGGAATGGTTTGGCACATTGTTGTACTAGAGAAGTAATCGTAGCTCCTCTGACCCACAATTTTTGCTGTGAAGAGTGCCTCTTCAATGTTAACAATGATATAAGATATGTCCTGGTTTTAATATGCTTGACAACAATTTTGTAAAAAACGATATCATTGTTATACTATTCTACGCAGGCGTGCGATAAATAAGTTAATTTCCTACACACTGATATAAAGCTGCTTGATACTTCAGATACCCAAAGATCCTAAATGACATTGGTGACACGTGAAATATGAGAGTGAAATTATCCCTTAACCCTTTTTTTCGTTGAATATTTCAACCATTGCGACAAAGTTTTGACCATGTTCTAAAGCAGAACGTTGAACAATGTTTAATAATGAAACTTGTGTTTTCCGGACATTAATAATAATAAAAATAATAATAATCATCTTTCTTGACCTTGATAAGTTACTATACATTGGACAAAATTTAGCGTCACCTGAACAGATAGAAAAAACAAATGTGAAAGAAATAAATGAAGTTAATAATAATTGGAATGAATAATGCCGTCGCAGCTATAAATAAGGGAAACGTGAATAATACGTAGTAAACAAAGCAAACAGACTTATCGCTATTCTGATTTTTTTATTCAACTGACCGATTCCTGAGCTAACTTACACTATTTTCCTCCAGGGTGCACCAGGAGCTCCCAGTCCATATCCTCAGAACCAAGGGGGAGCACCGTATCCCACACAGAATCCCCCCTATACCTCAGCAGGTCCAGTAAACCCCAACGCATTCGGCTTCAGTTCTGGAACCCCCATGTACATGCCGCAACCCATGCCCATGCCAAGTTACCCACCTTCGGCTCCATCTCAAGGGGGAGGATACCCCCCTGCCTCATCTGGAAGTGGGTATCCTCCAGGACCTCCAAGTGGAGGTTATCCACCTTCAAGTGGAGGAGGTTATCCACCGTCAAGTGGAGGAGGTTATCCACCGTCAAGTGGAGGAGGTTATCCACCGTCAAGTGGAGGAGGTTATCCACCGTCAAGTGGAGGAGGTTATCCACCTTCAAGTGGGGGAGGTTATCCTCCTGCCTCAAATACTGGAGGATATCCACCATCAAGTGGAGGAGGTTACCCTCCAGCCTCAAATACTGGAGGTTATCCACCTTCAAGTGGAGGAGAATATCCTCCAGCTTCTTCTGGAGGTCACAGTTATCCTCCTGGGAGTTATCCTTCCTCTGGAGGAGGTTATCCACCTTCCTCTGGAGGAGGTTACCCACATTCCTCTGCTCCTGGTGCTCCTCCACATCATGGACCATATGGAGGGTCGCCCTATGCCCACCAAGGTGGAATGAATACAAGACTGAAGGTACGGTAATGTGAAGTACTTTGGCGGGGAATTTTGCTTTTTTGTTGTTTTGGGAAAATGTCTGTGTGATGTTCTATGCAATGTTCTTTAAATAACATTACGTTCAGATGACATTACTTCCCTAATATACCGGTTGTTTCAAATTCTGCCCTCAACATTGTGACTTCGAAAACGGTAACAGATACGAAGTCGTTTAAATGGGGGCAAAGTTGCTCATTCAGGTAACTAAGAAAATGGAACTTCCGGATATTTCCGGACATAGACCAAAGAAACCGAATTTTCCCAAAATCGTCTGTATTTTTCCTGATTTTATTTGAGATGGGATTTCAAAGTAAAAACTACAGTAACACTGCCACTTTTTATCCTCTACAAGATGACATAATTAGTATTTCAACATGACGTTTCGTCTCTTGTCTTCAATCATCGTCCTTATTATTTCTTATAGACGCGATTTTCGCACATTCGAATAGAATTTCTGAATTCCGATTCCAAAATTCTATAATATGGCGTACATTGACATCCCTAAACCTAATTTATTTCAAAATAACTGGTATTATCATAGTTGGCTTTGAAAATGATTGTTAATCACATGTTTATCCGACTGAATCACCAATGCTGCTAGTTTAAGCGTGTTTAAAGGACATTCTGATAATTTGCTCATTTATCGACTACAACAAGCTTTATTTTAGCACGATGGAGGGGCATCACTCGTAGATATAATGATAGCATATGAATGCGAGATGTGTGCATCGGTTTAGATATGACAGATATGAAATATGTTTAGGCAGTGGCTTTTCTATGTAATAATAGACCACTTGACACGTTGACCGTGATGGTGTAGTGCGTCATGTCTGGGCTTAGCGTAGAACGTCGAGTCGTATGAGCGAGAGTCGTAAGGGCATCTCTACGTCTTCATCGTACGTGATGATGAAAATCAGCTCAGCAAAACTATTAGAAGGTGGCAAAACTTGAACTATATGAAAATATTTTAGCATGAGGTTGCTTTTTATTCGATAAATAAGTTAAGACCAACTATAGAAAGATTACTTTTTTAGATTTTTGAGGTTTTATATCCATCCATGTCATTATATGTACAAAGGCACATCATTAATATCGGATGTGGGGCTGTTCACCTATGCTTAGTTCATAAAAACCGAAGAATGGCTGATGAGATTATGAACTAAGGTTTGGCAATGTCGATGTATGACGTATTATACATTTTTGGAATCAGGATTAAAAACTATTCAACTGTGCAAAAATCCAATAAGAAAAATAAAGTTTATGATTGACGACAATAGACGAAACGTCATATTGAAATTTCAAATATACCATCTTGTCGAAGAGAAAAAGTCACAATATCAGTGTACTTCTTATTTTGAAATCCCATCTCAAATAAAGTCAGGAAAAAATAAAAACAATTTTGAGAAGATTCGGTTTCTTTCGCCAATCTCCGGAAATACTTGGAATTTTCTTTTTTACACAAATGCGCAAATTTGCCTCTATTCAATCAACTTCGTATCTCTTCCGAGATCCCAATGGTGAGAGTCGAATTTGAAATACCCGGTATACTCGTATATACTAACTAACAGGGAAAACACCCAGTAAAAATTAATTACTACAACGCTTTTTGTATATGTTACGGTTAAAGAATTTACTAAGCTAGTTTATAGATTAGCTCGATAATATCTAAACTATGCAAATGTATGGTTATTTTGGTGGAAAATCATAGATTCACTAAAATAGCTACTACTATTGGTTGGTTTGTATACTATCTTGAACCGCTAAACCATAAAATTTTTCATGAAATGCTGCAATTTGGGTCAATTTCATAATATATTTATAAGCGGCCTAGCAACGCTATGTACAGCATGAATCCATTACGTAGCGCTGCCTAACAATCCAACCATGTGTAACTTATTCACACGTTACCAGAAAAACTACTATAGCTTACACAACTCAGTCATCAGAGAATGAAGCAGGAAATAATAGCTTATCTCTAGTCTCTTATCTATCGAGTACAGAATGTACACCTAAAAATTACATAAAAGGTTCTATAAACGTGGGTCATAAAATGCATCCTTTACTAACTTACATGGTGCTGCAGTTATAATTTCAGTAAATAATAAAGTTTATATTACAGTAGTAGATGGTCGAACAATCAATCACAATTAATGACTTCAAAATAAAGTTATAATAAAATGTAAGTTATTAACAGAATAATTCAATTCAGAGTGCATTTTACATACATGTTCATAACTGTCCTCTCATAGATAGTTGCCAATAGAATGATTATAACATTTTATATATCAAGCACCCCACTATTTTACTCTGAATTGAATTATTCTGTTAAATTTTATCATAATTTTATTTTGAGGTCATTAATTATGAATGATTGTTCTATCTAGTACTGTAATATAAACTCTTCGTAATTAAAAATTATTTTCTACTTTTCAGTTCGGTTAGCTATAAATGCGTGTTTTTTAGATTTTTGAGCTATTATTTATCTTTCTTTTTTTTAGTTCTATTTATCAATTAGTTTTTGTGGGCATGTCATGATATTGCATTGTCATCGGTCCTTGATACGTGAAGTTTCTAATTAATCAAACTTCTTGAAATTGATGAAAATTATGCTAAAAAATCCCGCTACATACATACATATATGTCAAGCTAATAAAAGGCATACATGTCAAGCTAATAAAAGCGTGTTAAAAAAAATTAAAAAAGGTATACCACAATCTGCCTCCTGTGGGGATTGAACTCACGACTCCTGGTTTACACGACCAGTGCTCTGCCTCTGAACTACACTATTCGTAAAGCGGCATTTGAAATCCGTGGTTTCTTAACATATCTGCTTTTTACAAAATTTTTCTCATAAGTATAATGAAAAACTGTTATAGAAATTATTGCATTGTCATCGGTCCATACCTACATACAGACCAATCTAATAAAAGCGTGCTAAAAAGAAGATAAAATTAGGCGAAACAATTTTTTGCGGCTTAAACTACAGCAGAGACATAAAAACCGAAATATTTTCCACACAAAAGAAAAAGTATAATATTTTATACAGGACTAAATTCTTTGAAACTATTGCATTTATGGGTAGGATATGAATTTTCTCATGATCTGTCGCTGTGTAAGAAAATTTAGACCAGGTGACCCCTTTTGAAGAAAAATTGGCGTGAATTTTTTAAGTAAAATATGCATCAAACAGTTAAATTAATTGATTCCAACTAGAAAATACTTCGCTGTTAGTAAAGTTTTACATTGAAAATTGTATGTGATTTAAGGACCTTTTACCGATTGTGATCACAGTGAAACTGCTGCTACCTATCACTTTCACATCACTATCTCCTTTAACACAGAGCGATCTTAATGTTGGGACTTTCATTCGGGAATAAGCTAGTTTTCTTAGTAACACGTATACCATAACCGAAATATTAATTCCGAAAAACTCTAAATAAGCCATTCCGACCCTTCCTAGCTCTCATCCGGTTTCGATGGATGGCCAAGTTCTAAAGGGTGTTTTTTTTTAGAGGTACAGAACTTTAAATTGCAATAAAACAACGATGGATGATTCGACTGACATGCATTTTTTTTATTCGAAAGATAATCTTGTGGCATTACATTTTAAATATGATTTCTGGCATATATGACTGCCACGGCTGGCTCGGATGTAGTCCAATCTGGACGTCCAATCTCGATTACTTTTTTCAACATTTGTGGCCGTATATCGGCAATAACATGACGATTGCTGTCTTCCAAATGGTCAAGCGTTTGTGGTTTATCCGCTTAGACCGATGACTTTACATAGCCCCACAGAAAATAGTCTAGCGGTGTTAAATCACAAGATCTTGGAGGCCAATTGACAGGTCCAAAACGTGAAAATAGGCGATCACCAAACGTGTCTTTCAATAAATCGATTGTAGCACGAGCTGTGTGACATGTTGCGCCCTCTTGTCGGAACCACAGCTCCTGGACATCATGATTGTTCAATTCAGGAATGAAAAAGTTAGTAATCATGGCTCTATATCGATCACCATTGACTGTAACGTTCTGGCCATCATCGTTTTTGAAAAAGTACGGACCAATGATCCCACCAGCCCATAAAGCGTACCAAACAGTCAGTTTTTCTGGATGTAACGGTGTTTCGACATAGACCTAAGGATTAACTTCACTCCAAATGCGGCATTTTTGTTTGTTGACGTACCCATTCAACCAGAAGTGCGCTTCATCGCTAAACAAAATTCACTTATGAAAATCGGGAACAACGGCAATCTCGTTTTGGGCCCATTCAACGAATCTACGCCTTGTTTGATGATCGTTTGGCTTCGACTATTGCACGAGTTGGATTTTGTAAGCACGCAAACCAAGATCCTTCCGCAAAATCTTCCATAAAGTGGATGGACACAGATCCAATTCCTGTGCTCGATGGCGGATGGACTCATTCGGGTCTTCCTCAATGCTACGCTCTACAGTAGCAATACTTCTTCTGTACGCACCGTACGGGGTCTCTGGGGATACGAGTTATCAATTAGAGTAAACGTGGTGCGAAAACGTTCCATGGTTAATTGAATTAACTGCTCTGGATGGACGATTTTGTCGACGATAAAATGGACGTAGTGCGCGATCCGTATTCCGCACAGAACCATTATTTTCGAAATAAAACTGCACAATTTGCAAGCGTTGTTCAGTCCTGAGTCTATTGATGATGAATTGCCAAACCAAACTGAGAATAAATCACTTGACATCGGTCGCCATCTTCAAAATTAATGCCAACTTAAAGTTCTATGCCTCGAAAAAAAACACCCGTTAATAAGAGCCATTCATTTCTCCACATGACCTCTGCACTTTGTACAAGGCCCAGATAAGACCTAGCCTCGAGTACTGCTCACATGATTGTGATGCTGCCGCCCCGACTAAATTATCCATGCTCGATGCTGTTCAGAGGAATGCTGTCCGACTAATCGACGGCTCTTCTAGCTTTGTTCTAGTGCTACGTTAACGGGCTTCGCTCTTCAGAGTTCTCCTCCATGATGCCGCCGCGATGTGCCTGCCAGACAGACCCGCCTGACTTCAGCCTTTCATCCTAACCGTGTCGAACTTCGTACATCCAGAACTGGCCGAAACGACTGCTCCTTTGTCCCTAGGGTATCGAGATTGTGGAACAATCTACACGAGGTTTTTCCCAGTTCTACTAACTTTAGGCAGCTTAAAAATCGGATTGACAAAGTTCCATTAAGCTTCTCAGATCAGCTGCGGTGTCCAGGCATTTAGGCTGAGTGGCTGTTTTGGTGATAAACCACGATAAAGTAGTTTTTGTAGATATCATCTATTCTTACAAAAAAGGTAAGCGATAGTTGTGTTTGTGTAGCTACAATTGGCATTTGATCATCGTACAATATGTTGCCAAGAGCTGCTTTAATCTGTTCATAATGCCTAGAGTGCACAGAAGTTTAAAATAAATTCAGGAAGGCCGTACAGGAGTTATAAGGTACAGAGCGTCAGAAGAACGGCCCCATACCAAGATCGCCGCCTAAGACATTTGGCTCTACGAGACACAAGGTCAGTTGACGGTTAATGGTTTGGAGACCATGAAAAGCCCATTACAATGCGAATTGTGGATTTTAGGATTTGGTTCATACCATCCTCAGTTCATCCTGCCTCTCACTCCTAGGCACCGAAATGATCGACTGGCTTGATGCAGAGAACCGCTAAACTGAGGCCTCGAACGGAATACCACTGTATTTGATAGACGAGAAGGCAACGAGGTAAAAGACGTGAATCTCAATTTCTAACGGAAACGAATGTGCACGACACTGTTGGAATTATTGTATCGGGAGCTACTGCTTATAGGTCATTTTTGGTATTCATCAGAGGCAACTGGCGGTCGTACGTTGCATCTATGAGGTGAGAAAAGCACGTGTTCCGTCTTATATATGGACTCTCACCAACTCATTCTTCCAGCAAAATAATGCGCGATGACATACAGCCAGAATTACGTTGGTCTGTTTTGAAGACAATCAAGTCGATTTGTTGTCTTTGCCCCTAGGTCTTCCGACTTTTCACCCACTGAAGACGTCTGGGATAATATTAGTCCATCCTCCGCAGACTCCAGCAGCACTTCGGCACAATTAGCTGGGGATGAGATACCTCAAGAGGAAATCATCTAATTAGGAGTGTATGCCCAGACTATTTCTGAGTGCATAAGACATCATGGAGATCCAACAAATTATTAAATTTTCCATTTTTTTTAACGCTTGGATTTTTCTGATATTTTCGTCAATCACTTACCTAACCGTAAGACATCTATGTATATGTTACGGTTAAAGTACTTACTGAGGTAGACTATAGACTAGCTATCCATATGGTTACTTTGATAGAAAATCAACTTTTCACTAAAATAGCTACGAATATTGGTTGGTTTGTACACTATCCAGTTAGTCTATAAACTGTACAAGATTTAACGCCAAAGTAAAAACTTCAACAATACAGGTATTACATAAATTAACAAGAATTTTTGGCTAGTTCACAAGCTACCCACAGTAGGCAGATAAAGTGTGAGCTCAGCATTCCTAGTTATATACAGGGTGTCCCAGAAGTCGACGTCAAGCCGAAACCGGGTGATAGGCAAAGTCATAGCAGCTATCAGAAAAATATTTAAAAAAATTTTATGTATGTGTTTTGAAAATTATAGGTCTTTGAAAAAAATATAGAAATTTCACACCCTACGGCAGTCTGTCAACTCCTGTTACTACAAATATTAACTTTTTTGAATTTTATTTTCACAATGTAATGATGAATAATGCATCTTCAAACTGGTGTCTCAACCTTACTGCCAACTTTTCTCGTTCAGGAAAAATTGCCACTAATTTCCCAACCAAGTATTCCAAAGTAAAACTTTGCTCAACTTTAACTGGCTGTACTGGAAAAAAATGTACTACGAGAGTTTGGCAAGTAACCTTAAAAGTTGGCGCATTTAATAAGGATTCCAAAATGGTATAACACTTAGAAGATTACTCGTTAACTTATGCACAATTTTTATTTGAAGAAAAACTGATGAAAGTTTTTCAAAATTTCCTAATTAAACAGCGATCATGAAAACGCACAAGGACCCTTAAGGATAACTGTTTGCACAACAGTGGGCGTCAAAATGCGGCTGATACCACATACAGCGTGTTCAACCTCTCCTGCCCCGGGATTATGAGCCCCGAGTTGCTTTTTGTCGCACAATGTTAGAAAGACACAGGAAAGATCCACAGTTCTTTGAAAAAATTTTATGGTCGGATGAGACCACATTTAAGAAAGATGGGTACATGAACCTGCATAACTTACACGAGTGGCATGTAGGAAACCCACATTTGATGAGAGAAGATAAATCTCAATATCGCTTCAAGATAAACCATTGGACAGGAATTTTAAATGGTAAAATAATCGGTCCGTTTGAGTTCCCAGAGACTTTGACTGCTGAAGTTTATTTGGATTTTTTGAAAAATCATGTACAAAATTTATTGGTGGACGTGCCACTGAGTATTTACAGGGACATGTGGTTTCAGCATGATGGCTGCCCAGCGCACTATGCACTCTCAGTGAGAGAGTATCTCGATCAAAACTTTCCAGGCAGATGGATAAGGCGGTCTGGTACAATACCGTGGCCAGCCCGATCACCTGATTTGAATCCTTTAGATTTTTTTACTGGGGAACTGTAAAAGAAAAAGTGTATTTCAAGCCGATTCAAAATGTAGCTGAGCTACGGCAAAGACTATTGGAAGCAGCTGAGTTTGTTAATAACCGTGGATTCGCTCGTTTAATAACCCGATCTTTTTTAAGAACATGTCGAGCGTGTATTGCGGCTGAAGGAAAACAGTTTGAGCATTTGCTGTAAAGGTAAATCATCATCAGCAGCATTTTGACGCCCACTGTTGTTCAAACAGTTATCCTTAAGGGTCCTTGTGCGTTTTCCTAATCGCTGTTTAATTAGGAAATTTTGAAAAATTTTCATCAGTTTTTTTTCAAACAAAAATTGTGCATAAGTTAACGAGTAATCTTCTAAGTGTTATACCATTTTGGAATCGTTATTAAATGCGCCAACTTTTAAGGTTACTTGCCAAACTCTCGTAGTACATTTTTTTCCAGTACAGCCAGTTAAAGTTGAGCAAAGTTTTACTTTGGAATACTTGGTTGGGAAATAAGTGGCAATTTTTCCTGAACGAGAAAAGTTGGCAGTAAGGTTGAGACACCAGTTTGAAGATGCATTATTTATCATTACATTGTAAAAATAAAAACCAAAAAAGTTAATATTTGTAGTAACAGGAGTTGACAGACTGCCGTAGGGTGTGAAATTTCTATATCTTTTTCAAAGACCTATAATTTTCAAAACACATACATAAAATTTTTTTAAATATTTTTCTGATAGCTGTTATGACTTTGCCTATCACCCGGTTTCGGCTTGACGTCGACTTCTGGGACACCCTGTATAATAACCAATTCGTTGGATAGTATTGTAAACTAACTAATCCTCTGGTTAATTTATTGGAAAAGTGAGGTTTGTAGGTGGTTTGTAGCAAGCATTTGTTATTGCTTAGTATCATATCTTGTGAAATTCGTTCCTAAATAAGTATCCAGCTATTGAAAATAAATCAACAGCAAGAATTTGAAAAAATACTCTTGGAACTTTATGACCAAAGGTCGCAGAATTCAAAATTAATGAATGATAGTGATTATACTGAACTTTTGCAACGTATAAAGAGAATATGTCAATCTGGACCTAACCATAAAAAAAAGAATGATTTTTATGTGATAAATACTTATGATTTACATATATAAAAAGTGTAAATCTTTTGCTACCGGATGTACTTGTAACAGTAAGTGCCACAACAGTGCAACTTGCTCCAATAAATAATAATGTTCTTTGTTTCAGAACTTCAATGTTTTGCGGGTTTATTATAAATATTTTGGCAAACAAATACTATTTCTGTTACTTCTTTTTTCTTATTTTAGAGTTTTAAGAGAAATGTTACGTTGTACCTAAAAATAAAATATATTTTGATATTTTGATAGAGAATTATTTTACTATCCTAAACTAAATTAGCTAAAGAGGATTGGTTAGTTTACAATCTAACCAACGAGTTGGTTATTATCTATTACTAGTGATATTAAGTTCACACTTTATCCAACTACTGTGGATAGCTTGTGAAATAGCCACAAATTCTGGTTAGTTTATATAACTTTCTTGTGGTTTGTACTTTGGCGATAGATCTTGTATATTTGATAGACTAACTGGATAGGTTTCAAGGTCACTCACGGTATTCCCCCAAGAGTACATATGAACACAACAATTCAATGGCCATCAAGGAATAGCTGATTAGTTACAGTACAGTAAAACATGGTATATCATATAATCCAAGTTTCCATCTATTACGAAATGTTTATCAGTTACTAATAGACTTTAGATCTTTAGAATACCATTTTGTGACTTTGAATAAGTTGATAACTGTGTCTAGATGTTAACTCAAATTTCTTTTATGGTACGCCTTCAATCACAAATGTCTAAAATTATGAAAATTGAACATCCAAGCAGGATGCAAATTTTATAGTGCGATTAATAAATACAGAAGAGCAAATTTACAGGGTTTGTCCGGAAAGTAATAGGACTCATTTTCTTCCGCCATGACTGTACTTCGGAGTGTGCGCGCACTGACTGAATTCGGTAGAGGGCGTTCCTAGCTAACGAATGAGCGGCTGGCCAGTTGTCTCCGAGCACTTGGAGAGTCAGGACAAGCATTTTCGCGCGACGTGTTTCTGTGAGTGGTGCAAGCCGAAAATGCAGCGTTCGTTACAGCAGAGGTACGCGATTAAATTCTGTGTAAAACTCAGTAAATCTGCGACAGAGACGTTTGATATGATCAAGCAGGCTTACCCAGGTGTTGCTTCAGCAAGAAGTGGTGTGTTTCGGTGGCACCAGGCCTTTTTCTAGGGCCGGGAAGAGGTCGCTGATGAAGACCTTGCTGGAAGACCTTCGACTTCGACGAACACCGATAATGTGACTCGTGTGCGCAAAGTTTTGAACTCAGACCGTCGACTAAGTTTTCGTTTAATTGCCCAGATGTTAAATTTACCAAAATCTGTGGTTCATGACATTGTGACACAGCATTTGAACATGCGCAAGGTGAGCGCGAAGATGGTCCCAAAAGTGCTCACTGACGACCAGAAATTACGCGAGTGGAAGTGTGCCAAGAAAATTTGAACATGTGTGAATGTGACCCCCAATTTTTTAATAACGTAATCACAGGTGACGAGTCGTGGATCTTTGAGTATGATCTCGAGACAAAGAGGCAATTTTCCGAGTGGCACATGACGGCGTCTCCTCGCCCAAAAAAAGGGAAAAATGAGCAAATCCAAAGTGAAAACGATGCTCATTGTCTTTTTTGACATCAAAGGCATCGTCTACCATGACTTTGTTCCTCCTGGACAAACCGTCAACGCCAAGTTTTACGTGGAAGTGCTTAGGAGACTCAAACAAAGGGTCAGTCGGGTCCGACAAGACATCGCAGCCGACTGGAAGTTGCATCACGACAACGCCCCGGCTCACACCGCCTTTCTTGTGAACAGCTACCCGACCAAGGCCGGCATCCCAATGCTTCCGCAGCCGCCCTACAGCCCAGATGGGGCCCCCCGGACTTTTTTTGGTTTCCTCGCCTAAAAAGGCCGATGAAAGGCAAGCATTTTGAGACGACAAAGGGGATCCAAGCAGCATGCACCGCGGCTCTCAAGGCTATTCCGGAGAATGCCTTCCGTGATGCCTTCAATGCTTGGAAATCGCGCTGGCAGCGCTGCATCAACGCAGAAGGAGCCTATTTTGAAAGTTTTTAATGAATTGTAGGTAACGGCGTAATTGGCTCAATAAATTTTTTAAATCGACTCAGTCCTATTACTTTCCGGACAAACCCTTTATGTAAATATAGTCGACAACATATCCTCATGGGCACCACTATCGAACGCCGATAATATGCCAATAATGTGAATGTCGCGAGTTGAGACTGCCCTGTATTGATGAAAGTTGATAATTGACGATTATTAACTCGACGCATTCTCTCTATGATTCGATTATCATAAGGATTGTTGCGACGAATATACGTGCATGTGCATTAGGAACTGCATGACTTTTATTAAGATTTTAGAGGAGAAAAGAGAGGACACATGAGGAAGCAGTTAAGATTCGAACGATGTTTGAACCGATAACAACAGTGAAACCTTTAATATGATTCGCTCTGATCTGAAAGGCTTGAGGTATGAAAATGAGTGTAACCTATTGTAGAACTGCCTTATTTTAATAACCTTATGAAAGAACTAGGTATGAACATGGGCGCCTGCAGGAAGGGAGGCGTGCAGGAGGCCGAGCTCCTCTTGGGAATCCGGCTGGACCTTGAATATTTATCATGATTTTGTGTACAATTTTGAGGATTGCCCCCCGCTCGTCATTCCTGCGGGCGCTCATGGGCATGAATAAGAATTAATTTGTGCAGTTTAACTTCTTGTTTGTTATCGCAAAAAGTATGCATTATTATATTAACGCATAATGCTACAGATAACGAATCTACATAGCTTTCATTTTACTAAAATGACAAATACTTTTTACATACCTATACGTAGGATTGTCATATAGTTATGCAATTACTCATGCTTCTACGTTTTTAAAAATATATCATTCCACGTTATACTGTGTTTAATGCTAGATGTTTGTATGTTTATTACAAAGTTTATTACTCGTTTGTAGAGCCACTGCAGCAAATGAATACAATGGTTTCAGTTTACGTACGTATTAACTGACAAATCTCACTATGGAACAAATTATTTGCCTACATAGCGTTTATCATAGAGCATTCGTTGGGCGTTGCAGTAACTTAAAAGAGCGATAACTGCTGTCATATTTTAACTATATAACGATACCATTTCACAGAAAATGCATATTGCGCTTCTGGTACCACGTTTTACTCAAATAATTTTATATTTTTTCATTTTCTTACTATTTTCATGTGTAATCCCAATGATCTATATTACTTTCTTTTATTCCAGAGGACACCAACTGTGGTTCCTGCCAACCCCTTCAACCCTCGTGATGACGCGGAGGTCCTCAGGAAGGCCATGAAAGGCTTTGGGACGGACGAAAAAGCCATCATCAATGTGTTGGCCAGAAGAACCAATGCGCAGAGATTGCAGATCGCTGTGGAGTTCAAGACTATGTATGGAAAGGTAATGATTATTCAGATGAGTCTTTACAAAAATCGTAACATGAAGGTACAAAAAGGCGGTAAATGATTATAATCCCCTTTGAATGAATTTTTAAAGCCATTATACTACTTTTTACGCATAGACTAAGCGATCTTTCTCACCTAGTCAGAAAGACCCATATATAGTTACAGTAAATCAGAACATAATTTCCTAGGTAGGTCTTGACGGTATATTATTGTTATTAACATCAATCAAATATTGTGTTCAGGTTTCACCATACCTTTTTATTTCCTTATAATTTTCATCCAGCAACAAATTCATGACTAACTAAAGAAATACATCACTGAACTTAGGACTGAAAAATCTATTTAAATGTACAAAATATAGCGTCCATATGAGAAAAAAGTTGGTGTTGGAAGTCGAAACAAAAAATGTCGAATTGAGAATAAGTAACAGTGACAACATGCAAGTTATTTTAAAATCCCATCTCAAAGTCATGAAAAAATAAAAGTGATTTTGACCTACCTAAAAAATTCTGCTTTTTTGAAATAACTGAGGTTGAACTTTATTTACTGTGCAACAATCCAATATGGCGTCCATAAGAAAAGATAAATGTTGTAGCTGGAGGACAAGAGACGAAACACCAAGGCAACTTTTCCGAACAGTTAGTTAGTCATTTCAGATGCACTTGGACAACGACATCACGTAGCAGCGATTGAATGAATGAATCTTAAAATTAGAGGCATTCCGGCCACCATAAGGAGCCAGTGCATAGGCTGCTTAAGCGGGCCCTTATGCACTTCTACATTCCTTAGATCACAAGCCTCGCCCTTTTAGCGAAGTTGAGAATCGCCTTGAGTCCAAGCTCCTTGACGTCCTGAGGGTCCAAAGTAATGGACCCAAGTATAGTCTGCCTATAGTAGCTCAGAACTTCACAGCGACAAAAAACGTGCGCCGGGGTCTCTTCCTCTACTCCGCAGCGGTCACACAAGGGATCTTCAGCCACCCCCATCACGTGCAGGTGGCGCCTTAACGTGGTATGGCCAGACAACAGACCCACCAGCAACCTTAGGTTGGCTCTATCCAGAGATAAGCAGAAACGTCCATCCTTAGCACTGGGCCCTTCAATGAGTTCCCGTTACTGGCGGAGATGTCTGGAGATACTTCTCCATTTCTGAGAGTGTTGTCTTGCAACCCACGTCTCCATTTTCCTCCTAGCTTTATGCGCGGTCACTCCTAGAGCTGGCTCAGGACCAACGAGCTTGCTGTCTGATCCTGTCTTCGCCAGAGTGTCCGCCGTCTCATTGCCCCTTATCCCAGCGTGCCCGGTACCCACATTAACGATACCAGATGCCTCGCTGCGAGGCAATCCAGAGCCTCCCTGCATTGCAATACAAGACTCGAAGTAATCTTACAGGCATTTGCTTTCATTGCAGCTGGCTGTTGGATAAGATTGTTATTCTTCTCCTAGGCCCACCCTCCTCCAGAATGTGAGATACACAAGCCAGAATCGCAAAGATTTCCGCCTGGAAAATAGTGATGTATCCACCGAGAGGCAGAGATAGCGTAGTTCTAGGCCCAGAGACCCCAGCACCTGAGCCCTCTTCGGTGACCGAGCCGTCCGTGTACCAGACCTGCCCGCTCAGTCCAGAGAGTCCCCGACTACCGGCGTCCACTCCTCCCTCGTTAGATACTCCACAATAAACTTGCGGTTGAAGCGATATTTAGGGGTAATACGATCAACCCTTTGCAATCCGACTAAGATGGCAGTATGCCCATTGACAGGATTCAAGAAAGCCCACCTGCCCTGACTCCACAGTCGATGAGCGATAATAAAGGGATACTAGCATTCTTACTTTGACCCGCCAAGAACGGTGACTACAACTATCAACGTAGATTTCCTTTCAGAAGCCAATCTATCAGAAATATTTTACGCGTTCATTTCTAAGACTTCGGCAATATGGAATTGACAAACTTCCCTGAGTTAGAGGCCATGGTGTCCGCCGGCTTACTCTTCAAGAGGAACTGGAATTTGGCGTTGGATGACCCTAGGCGGATTGCAGCCCAGTTACCATGTTCCCAAAGTCTAGCGTCGATAATTTTAAATCGGGAAGTTTTACATGCTTACCATCAGCAAAATGTGCAATATCTGCAACCCGACGACACGCTGCAACGGCAAAATTTTTGTGAGTGATTACTGAAAATGCATAATCAAGATGCACATTTTATTGATTTGGTTTGATCAGTTACAAGAAAGAATAGATAATGCGTCCTAATTCAAGCAACAACAAATTTTGCGGAAATACGTTTTTCTTTATTAAAAAGATGCCGCACTTGTATCCGTCAGAATGGTGGTCTTTTTGAACATTATTAAAATAAAGCTTTGATTATCTAATTTGTTTCTATTTATTTTTACGAAAACAATGCACCCTAGGAAAGAAACACAAGGGTAATTATTTATAGCAAATTGAAGGAAAAATTGCGCGTTTTGACAAAAACAGAGGCGCACTACTTTATTTGGAAAAATAATGCCAGTAGTCCCCTGTATCTCCGCCACTGGTACACGTTAATTTCAAGTAAAGACTTTTGAATGTGGACAGTACTTAGGGAAATCCACATATCAAATTTTAGTTCATTCCAGTTAACGGTTTTTATTTTTAAACTTCAACACCCCTTATCTTTTTAATAAACACCCTCGAGGAAAAATGTTACATAGAAGACCCTCCTTGAAATGCGGTCCTATGTATGGTGTTTCATTTTTGGTCACGACTTGTGAATCACCCTGTATAAGCCAAAGGCATCATACGTAACATAATCTCATAAGGTTTCAAACTGAAATTGAATCGAATTGCTTTGCATCTCAGCATTTTATAACAAATGCTTACCGAAAGGGAACTTTCGAATAATGTTTCTGATAAACTACTTGCTCTGGATAAATTTCAGTTTTTTTAACCGCCCTATATCCTTCCAGGACCTAATCAAAGACCTGAAGAATGAACTGAGCGGTAACTTTGAAAATCTAATCGTTGCCATGATGACCCCTCTGCCAGAGTACTACGCGAAAGAACTTCACGATGCAATGAGCGGTATTGGTACCGATGAGGATGTCTTGATCGAGCTTCTGTGTACCATGTCCAACCAGGAGATCAGAACCATCAGACAGGCGTACGAAGCAAGTAAGTTTAGCGATGATGTTGATATGCTATGCTAGATGGAGATATTGCTAATGGTAGATACACTAGAACTGTTTCTAGAACCAATTTTTCTGTTTTCGGAAGTAGCATGCTGACATATTTCGGAATTTAAAACTTCCAATAAATGCTGAATGTTTTTGGGAAATAATATCGTTTTGAGATTTTGTTTTCATAAGTATTGGTTTTTATAGGGTGTGCCATCAGTCAAAAAGGGTTTTTAATTATTTACAGCTTAAGAAAGAACACACAGGAGTTTCTGTACAGTAACTACGTAAGAATATACTTGAATCTGTTCCATTCTCATACTGATGACGTTTTTATACTAGAGGGCAATGTGAGGATGTTCTCCATGAATAGCTTTTGGCTCGACTATTGTTTTTGTTAAGTCAGATCCACAAATTTGCAGATTACAGCATTGTATATGAATGCAATCGGAGTGCGATTGAGCTGGATAGAAGACAGTAATCATTTCATTTTTTACGACGGATCTGGAGGCTACCTGGGCTTCGCGAATTTAGTGCAGTTTAATGTCTCAAAAATTGTACTGAATAAACTTATTTAAACACTAACTAGTTATCTAAATTACAACGCAATACTTAACTAAACTATACTATCGAGTTATGTGGAGTTGCCCGTTCTGCTTTACCAGACGCAATTTTCTTCGAATTTCTCTCATGAGGTCCTGGACGGAATTCAGACAAATTTCTCTCACTTTTTCGTGAATTTGCTATCGTAATTGTTCTTCCTCTTGGACTTCCCAGCCTTCCTAGACAGTAAAGCCCAAAAATCTTCTATTGGGCGAGCCTGCGGCATGATGTTAGGTCTGTCCAAAACATGACATAGTCATTAGCATGATGTTCGTGGACAAACTCAAGCAATTTGGAAAGGCATTTATCAATATAGCTGTGTCTATTCAAATATCCTATTTTATCTGCAAATTTCGCTTTATGTTTGTACCTAACATTGTCAGGCCATTCCTCTACGTTGTCTGTATAAAATCTGTCGTTTCCCTTCATTTCAGAATTACTCAAAGTGAACTACTTTTCATCTAAAATAATGATTTTTCCATACCGCCTCAGTTGACGACAGCATCTTGGTATTCGAAGGAGTTGCGCTTGAGATTTTTTGGAGCACTTGAGTCTCTTTCGATATTTAAGGCCATTCCTCCTCAATTCCAATGATATCGTACTCTTAGAAAATCTGTATTGACGAGCCAGTCTCCTTGTTCATACTCCAACCTGATGTTTTGCTCTTCTCGCCAATCTTAAGATTTAAAAGCCAATGAATTTTGTGCCAAAACTTTTAAGACATACATTATTAAAAAATGTCAAAATCAAAAAAATTAAATCTAATTCATTTCTTTCCCAGCTGATTCAGTGTGAAAAGAATATATAACATCAAACAAATATAATATGCTAGGTTTGAAATCAAGTTATATTCAAAATCAAAGCCTTCTAACTGAAATGCATCTGAGACTTATGGTTCACCCTGTATTCCTTACAGTCGCTTAATGCAACGCGTATTTCTCAAAATTACTTGTGTGTGACGTGAAACTGAGTGCAGTGCTCAAAATTTAAGTGACTATAGTGACACCTAACGAAAAGCTAAGCTACTAAAAGTAAGTTGTTTCAATAATTTCAACTTCACGCTTCTTATACGCCTCAATGAATATATATTTTTTGCAAAGCACCAAAATCGAAGAGAGTAGCATACTTCATGGTATCTGAGTGAACACAAAGTCGTTAAGAAGTGTTAACAATGCGTACGATACGTTACGCTACCCTCTTCTATTTCGGTACTTCACTATTACAGTAAATCATTCTACTTGAGCTTTCCTTTATTTTCCAGTGTACCACAGACCTCTAGAAAGCGACCTCAAAGGCGACACTGCAGGTACATTCAAGCGTCTCATGGTGTCCCTTTGCAATGCTTGTAGAGACGAAAGTATGGCAGTGAACCAAGAAGCTGCTAAGAAAGATGCTCAGTCTCTTCTGAGAGCTGGAGAATTAAAACTTGGAACGGACGAGTCGACCTTCAATATGATACTGTGCCAGAGAAACTATGCTCAGCTACAGCTTATCTTTCAGGTAAGAAAATATCTTTTGGTGAGGATGAAGTCCATCAAAACGTATGTACCGCTTCTTGCAACGCGGATAATTTTATGCAAGTTGTTTTGTATTAAGTAGATCGGAACATTTCGGTATACAATCAGAACGAAGCAATTTTGAATGAATATTTGGTGACACGCTACTGAATTTCAACAGACTCACTATTTGCCAACAGTACATCACAAGGCGACTCTTAAATAGACGTTTAATTAGTTAGCCATGTGCATTAACAATGTGCTGAATTGACATGCCAAATTTGGTAGACATCACTTGAAGCTTTTTCTACTTTCAGGAGTATCAACGCCTTACCGGTCACGACATTGAAGAAGCCATCAAAAACGAATTTTCTGGTGATTGCGAAGAGGGTTTCCTGGCTGTTATCAGATCTATCAAAAACCAACCATTATTCTTTGCAAGAAGACTTCACAAGAGTATGAAAGGGATGGGTACGAATGATCAACAGTTGGTCAGAATAGTGGTCACTAGATGCGAAGTTGATATGGTCCAGATCAAACAGGAGTACCAGGCGAAATATGGAGAATCTTTGGCGGAAGCCATCAAGGTACGTTTGGTTTAGTCAGGATAAAGAATTATTAGCATTCGTCGGAAGAAAGGTTGGATACAACTGTTTCATCCTTTTCCGCTAGAAATGTGAGACTTGGAACATTTTTTTGTGGCATACGCGCATAATGACGTTATTCTAAGGTCATTTGTTGCGTACAGTGGCTTATATAGAACTTCACTTCGGAGGAGTTTCGGAGGGGGAGGGGAGGAAGAGAGGTTGAAATACAAAACAAAATGCAAACGTCTAAAAACCGACATTTGAAATATAATGAGGAAAAAAATATGCAGTGCAAGCACAAATGGAAGAAATTATGACAAATATGCCTGCAAGTATATAGTCGTAGAAGCTGAAAAATCTTAAAAGTATACTTATATACTATAATATTATAACACAACAGCTTATAAGTGGTAGAAATATCCTCTTTCTAGATGGTAAAACGATCCCAATACTTTACTTCTACAGTGTGGCCGATATGTAACTGACTGGTTTGTATCTTGAATATTTGTGAAATGAAATAAGATACGTCCATTTTTGACATCCTAATATTTTACTGAAACTTAGAAATTACGTATGAAAAATAATATCAGACAAATGTCTGCGTCTAGAAGCCGAGCAAACCGGAGACCTCTTGATTACATTTTCCATTACTTCTTTATAGTTCTCGGGAGGAATATTTTCAGTTTCCGTAATATTCTTCTTCAGCTGCTCTACAGTAGTTGGTTTGTTGTTTCAAAAATCCCAATAAAAAAAAGTCAGGAGCCGTTAAATCCGATGACCTTGGTGGTCAGTTGACACCAAATCAAGAAATTAAACGTCCCGGAAATATTGTTCGCAAAAGATTTATTGTTTCCCTAGCAGTGTGATAAGTTGCTCCGTCCTGCTGGAAACACATGTTTTGCAGGTTAAATTGTTAAATTTGAGGAGCCACCATATCACGGTAGCGCTCGCCAGTGACAGTAAGTTAATTACCTGCAGCGTCTTCAAAGGAGTAAGGTCCAATGATACCTCCATATCAAACACCGTACCAAACTGTGACTCGACGAGGATATAGTGGTGGTTGATGAATGGCACGAGGGTTATCTAATGGCCAGATACGACAAGTCTCCTAATTAACAAATCCGTTCATATCGAAGTGGGCTTTATCGCTCATTATCAGTTGTCGGTAAAAATCGTTATTTTGGGTATTTAGTTGAAATATTGCATGACTGTATTGTCGCCGACTTTCATGGACACTGGGCTGTAGCTCTTGGGTTAACTGAATTTTGTATGGCCGCAAATGCAAGTCTTTTTTTTTAATATTGCATAATGCCGTGCGACGAATACCCAGTTCTTGAGAACGATGTCTGGTAGACGCCTCAGGGCGCTCCACTACACTTTCACGAACTCTGTCGATATTTTCCGGAGTACGAACAGTTCGAACACTGCCCGACCTTGACAAGTCTTTAACTTCACCTGTTTGTTCAAATTTCCGCACCAACTGACGAATGGTGTTGACACTGGACACATTATTTCGACCGAAATCTTGTCATAGCTGCCGAATCGTTGCAACAATCAACTCACTATTTAAGTAAAACGTTTTAACAATACGGACGCGTTGTGGGATCGTGTAGCGCTCCATGATAAATTGGACACATGTCCTTTAAACAACTATTACGGCGCCACCTACTGAAATGCGTGTATCAAAAATGGCGCGCAATTTAAATCAGTCAGTTAATATTGGCCACCCTGTATTGTGATGGTAATACCGTATCTGCTGATGCTCAATGAGGGAGTTAAACAAGGAGCATGAAGGCAAGAAAATGTTCCCCAGCTAGGGACTATAAAACTGCGTTTTTATAATAAAATTTTGAGTGGACATAGGTAAAAAATTATGGGGTTGATAAGTTTGACTTTCATGATTATTATTATATTCGTACTACTATAAAAACTGACATTTTACCTCCGAAAAACAGGCAACCAGAATTTTACGATTTTTTCAATATTTTTGAAGCGATGGGACTCAAACAATGTCATTACAAAATGAAAATTAATGTGTATCTCTCAATACGTTGCTGAATTACTATTAAAACTCTCAAAATAGAATTAAAACTGGCTATGGCCAGCACCTACGAAAAATCATACACATAATACCTTCATGAGTTTCCAGTTCATTTTTATAACTCATCGCAAGGCTTAAAAAAGATACAAACTACACCGAGCTTCTGAGCTCGCCGCTAGGATTATTTTTTTGGACTCAGCATCCCAGTTATGCACCCTGTATAATATATTATGTGCTGGGAAATTAGCTGGGCATTAGTAGCTGGACAATATCTGGAAAGCCTGTTACGATCTGGGAATGTTATTTATATATAACATCTTTATCCAAGCAATTACGATAATGACCAAGAAGGACAAGGCAACGTTTCTATAAGGACAGTAGTGTGGAGAATATTATGACATTCGCAGTTATAAAGAAACATGAAAAAGAAACACCCAAACAAAACAAATATCAAGACCTGAAACCTGGAGTTAACATCAAAGTGTTTGCTCTCTAAATCCCAACAATGCTATTATTACAATACTCAATGATTAAAAACGAACTGTTGTCGTCGCGTTCAGTTTCTATGATGACATTAACGTTTTGAATGAATTAGCTGCATACTCCTTCGGATTTCATGCAGATTTGAATAGTAACATAATATTATATTCGGGTATTAATATCATCTTCTGGCGCTTTCGTATTATATTTTTATTAACATTGCCCAACTTAGTGGACCAGCTAGTATAGTTATTACCCGTTTTCTCGTGTTTGTCTTATTTTGCATTCTTTAAGGGAGACTCAACTGTGTAACTCTATTTTTTTTTCTTTCAGAGTGACTGTTCTGGCGACTACAAGAAATGCCTACTGGCTCTTATTGGAGAATCATATTAATGATTTATTAAGTTCCAGTGTATTCTATTTGTTTTTATGTATTTTCTAATGTCCATTTTAGTTGTACATAGTCCAGTCAACCGTTTAAATATATGTACATCACTATTTTAAATACCATTTTACATTACGTGTTGATATTTTTATTTTATTAGTTTTCTATTGTATTATTTTCTGTAGATTATGTATAAGTATTTGATTGAGATATATAAATCGAATGGCTAAACTCCCCATGACAAATTACATTATTTAATTTATATATTAATCTCATAATTAGTCAACATTCTAATATTGTCAAATACTTTCAAAGTCTTTATAAGGGAATAATACAAATATCATTCCTACTTTCTTATAATCACTATTTTATGTATAACGTTTACTCGTAGGTTTGTATCTTATTATGTGTAGGTACCTTACACTTCCTTGTTTGAACAACAATTCCATTTGCTATAATTGAACCCATGCAGATCTGAATCCGACATAAACATCTTAACTATCTAGTTATATGTAATTTATAAGAAACCTATGTGTCAAACTGTAAGTTGTGCCTATGAATGTATCTACTCGTAATGCCATATCTTGGCCATAATGGTGTTTCTTTTTAAATAAATTGTGTTCTACACAACTATGTGCTGTGTTTTGCATGGGTTAGGAAAATACATATGCACCTTAAAAAGCGTAATAATTATGTGTGTGTGAATTTTCAGTTTCTGCTAAGATCGAGAAGTGAAGCGAAAATAATTTCTAAAAACCTTAGACGTTCCTGATTTAAGAACCCAGTGACAAAAATGGCCTATCATCATAAATTTAATTAAGATCAGATACTTAATCTCCAATTCCCTGGTAACAAAAATTGCGGGCGCACGCTTTTTTCTGCTCCATATTCCAAAAGGCACCAATAATATTTTACTTCACATGCCTACTGACTCGAAAAATTATGAAAATGAGACACTATGTGTTTTTGGATGTTATATGATATGTACATCACGAAAAACCATGTCTTTCATTTCCGTCGGTCTGTCTGTCAGTTTGTCTATCTGTCCACTAATCCTTGGCCCGTCTATAACTTTAAAAGTACCGCTCAAATTTGGATGAAATTTCCACGCAAAGTTACTACTGTACCGTGGAGGAATACGCTTTGTAGTTTTTAAAAATCGGTGCAGTGGCAGCGAAGAAAAAAGTCAAAAAGGAAAAAGTAAAAACCGCGCAAACTTCATTTTTTTTATTTTAGAGAGTCCTTATCATTTTCATAAACATTTTTGCATGGATTAAAAATTTGCGATTACGGGTTGCAGGCGGTAAGAGGGTATATCTCAATTTTTCAAGGATGATGAATTTATACTCTTGCAACCCCGGTAAGGCTACGCACCTATTAGATATATTTAACTCATCAAATCTATGATGATCTTATAACTTCATAACACCAACAGTCGCGTGTCGGTAGTGCACCATGGTCCAGCCGATGGTCGTGCGTCGCAGTCGGCACTCGGTTCCGTACTGCTGCGCGATGTATGCCAAGAGATAACTCTGAGAGAAACCGTACCTGCCTCAAAAATTTTGGAGAGCGGGGCTAGGATAATTTTACAGGGGAGGGGCAAATCGTAAAAAGCCCCAAAATTATACACAAAAGCATGCTAAATATGCAAATTTTAATTGTATGAGCCTGTTTGACTAACTTGATCCATTCAATTTTTTGTTATATATGTTCGTAGCTAACTTTTTTCTCAGAAGGGCTAACTGCTTGTGCCAAACATAATCCTTTATCAACTGATAACAGCGTTGCGTGGGAAGTATATGTGTAGAGTCAACCCACTTGACGCCATTTTTTTTTTAATTTAAAAAGGAATTAATTTTTAGTAGATTTAGGCAAAATAGGGGCCTGCATGAAAAAGTCGAACATAGAATCTTGACGTTTGAGAAAACATACTGATGAGGCTAATGGTGGACTTGGGCAATTAACCAGCCTGTATGTACGCATAACCGCAATCTAATTTGGCTTCTAAGAAGGTGTGTTGTCGGTTTTACTAATACAGTTCGCTTCAAAGCTCCTCCCTCATCACCTTCATCAACCAAAGGTATTTTTCTAGTGTACCACAGACCATTGGAGAGTGACATCAAAGGAGATACAAGTGGAACCTTTAAACGTCTGATGGTCTCCCTTTGCAATGCTTGTCGAGACGAAAGCATGGCGGTTAACCCAGAAGCTGCAAAAAGAGACGCTCAGGCACTCCTAAGAGCTGGTGAACTACGTCTTGGTACTGACGAATCCACTTTCAACATGGTACTATGCCAGAGGAACTACGCCCAACTACAGCTAGTCTTTCAGGAATACCATAACATCACCGGGCATGATATTGAGAAAGCTATCAAGAACGAGTTTTCTGGAGATTGTGAACAAGGTTTTCTAGCTGTGATCAGATCAATCAAGAATCAACCGCAGTTCTTTGCAAGGATGTTGAACAAGAGCATGAAAGGTCTTGGGACGAATGATAGACAATTGATAAGGCTGGTGGTGACGAGATGCGAAGTGGATATGGTTGAGATTAAAAGAGAGTACCAAGCTATGTTTGGTGAGTCGCTGGCTGATGCTATCAAGGTAAGTGACAAATCTAGAACATCAGTATAATAGGTGCAAAGCATTTTAGGCGGCAAAAAAACGTCTCTAACGCAAACAGTGGCAACTGTGTTACCCCTAAAACAGAACAACCCGTAAAACGTTCTCAACTACAAGTCTGAACCCACTGACTGTCTCAAAAACATGACAATCCATCAGAAATTTCAACTTGTTTCATGGTAGAATCCCCTTCATCTGAAGTCTTTAAAATCAAAAGCAATATCCGAACTCTAATAAAAGCATGCCTTGCAAACAATTTGTTAAAAATCAAGTCTGTGACTTCGGAAAGTGCTGGCATGAAACCATCCGAAACTTGTTGTTGTTTAAGATTCATTTAGCATGATTGCTACAATTACATTCTTCTAAAAAATTAAACAATTACATAACATACAGATATGTAGAAAAAAACTAAATTTGCATCTCTAAGAATTTTCACTGTCTATGAAACACTCCTTTAATTTTTTTAACATCTTTAAATTACAAGTAGACTTTATATCATTATTTAGTTTATTTTAGTGTACTTCCTGTAGTTTCTAATAAGAAATTCTTCCGAATTATAGGTTGCTTGAATGCATTATTTAATTCTCTATTATTTGTATATATATATATCACACTGCATCTAATGTACGAATTGGATAATTTGGGGATCAATTCATCATACATACAGAGATATGTTATAGCAAAATAAACTCATTCCTTTTTTGTAGCGTATAGTTCTCTATACCAATAATTTTGTTATTTGTTGATTCTAGGGTGACTGTTCTGGAGACTACAAGAAATGCTTACTGGCCCTGATTGGCGAATCTCACAAGTAATATTTATTTTGCAATTAAAATGAAGAATCTCTCAACTATGACTTAAAGTTTGCACTTTTATAATGTTTTATGTTTCGTTGACGTATATCAAATGTTTTTAAATGTCTATGTTTAATTTATTGTTTTAACTCATTGATGTAGTAGTTACGATATCCCATGTTATTCTAAGCATTCCATACATAAGATTTTTTACTGAATGAAGTTGCCATGTATTTTATTTAAATGCATTTTTGATTGATGGCTGGAAATATGAACACAAATATGCAAGATACACAAAGTTCGCAATAGCTGTATTAATATATTTTTTATTTTATCAAGCTGTACTAAAGTACATTTGTACTTAAAGAGCCATATTTTCTATATATTATTGTGAGAAACGTTCCGTGTTTTATATAGTACTTATGAATAAATGTTTTTTGTCGACTTGCTACGTTTATGTCCCCCCTTGGTTTCAGATTTTAAGATGTTTATAGTAAATATCCAACTGTACAAATAATAGGAAGGGTGTTTTTATATCAACAATGGTTAACAAAAAAAAACTAACAGACAGATAGATAGACATCAAGCGATCAGCTGAATGCAGTGTAAAAGTTGTTTAGGACAGCTCAATAATAAAATGTCTACATGTTAAACGCAATTTTTATGCTCTGCAAAAAACTCGCGCATCTCTATGGGCTGAAAGAAGGAATTGGTCAAATTACCTAACTAATACATGCTACAGTAAACATAATCACTTGCTATGCATGTTCTAAGAATGCCATCTAATAGCAAAATCATGAGCGGAAATAATAAACCGCACATCAATAGAACATATTACAAACCCCTATTAGGAACCGGTATTACACTTTCGCATTAGATGATTTGAGATAGTCCTATAGCATATCCAATAAAAAGACGATCTAAGAATGTGCTCTTCAAGATCTTCACCCGTTCTAAGGATAAGGATATCAGTGATTTGGGAAAGTATTCACAGAGAGCGCACATGCATCTAGTGGTTGTCTATTAGCTATTCACGATTTGAATCTCCAGATGCCTGATCCACGAATCTGTATATTACAATACTGATGTTATGCATTTAAAGGGATATTCACTAAATATTCGTGAAGTATCCAGTGGTTCATCACTGAAACATCTAATGCCTGATTCAGGTATATCAGATGATCACACCATAGACACGCGAAACTGTCAAGTCCAATTTCAAAACGAAGAAAGATAACTGAAAACCTAACAAAGCAAATTAACCATGTATTATACTTTGAAGTTGAGTCATTAATTTTCAGATAATGATTGTAGAAGGAAGATAAACCAAAATATGTGTGTAAAAATAAAAAAAATGTTTACCTTGTTTTATAAAGTATCCTCCCGACAAGTATTTCAGTGCGGACATGTATTTGATCGTGAGGTCCCCTGTGAGGTCTTAAGTCACCTGATTCACGAGCCCGTTGTCCTACATTAACAAAGGCACGAGGGGTTGGTTGCACTCGATTGGGAAACCGATCCGCATAAACATGTGCCATTTTTTATTTCGTTTGAGCCACGCAACAGACACTATTCACACGCGACTGACACTGACTGTATGTATAACTGAACTGAATAACATAATTGTAAAAACATCGTTCCAAATTCCTTCGCTTTTTCGTTTCCGATGCGATGAACCGATAAGGCGGATTATATCCGTTGTTGCCAAACACGAGCACATGATATTATTGAGACAGGGGGGTACTCAAACTTCCAAAGGGCTATAACTTTGTTACTTTAATTTTACCAGAAAAATGGTAAAGGAAAAAAACATTTCTTTTGATCAGATCTACTCACTGTTAAAATAAATGACTCAACTTCGAAGTCACCCTGTATATTATGTATGGATTAATGTAAAGTCTAGTGCCCCTTCTATCGTACTCTAAATGTCTATTACATATTATTTTCCTTGTTCTATAGATATACTTCCAGCCTCTATAAATTAAATTTTCTATTAGGCGATCTTTTTTTTTACCTTTTTCCACAAACAATGTGTACCACTTGGAGACCCACAAGATGTACGCTATGTTAGATACGCACGGACATTGAATAAAACAAAATGGAAGCCGGTACGGCGGTCGGCTTGCTATTATGTCATTGGTTGCTCAGACACACGCACTTGCGCGATAGGTTGAACAAATTCGCCTGATGGATTCTTGTGGAATGTTCTTATCACGTAACCAGGAATATCCCTTCTTAATTACTATCTGATGCAACATTACTGACACGTTACAAGATTTTTTATCGGCATGTCCTAAAAATGAATATTCTTAACACAGGAGCAAATGGATATCCTTATATGAATACCCGTATGCTACGAACAATTGCGTTCCGAAAGTTCTTAAATCACATATTAGGAAGTTCATACGGTGAATAGGCTTTAAGGAGGTAAAAAATATGCGCTGAGAGCATGCCTTATTAGTATATCTTCATTAGGATCTAAAACGTACATTCCACGAATGTGAATATACTTTTTCATCTTTACTGGCAGTAGATCTAAATTACTTCAAATATTGTAAGCGTAGTTTTGACGTGTCGTACGCGCGACCAAATCCAAAACACACAAATAAACTGGGTACATAAAAAACAACAGTAGTCCTGGAGACAGATGGACGGAAGGCAAATAAGTGTGTATGGGCGTATGAAAAACTCAAAATACCGTGCTGAGTGGACGAAAAAACCTGACGATCTACGGAGACGGGAAAAGCACATGTCCATTTCAATCGTTTCTATTTATGTATATACGAGGGGGTAGCCAAAAAAAACGGAATTATTTTTCATAAGCTATTTATTTTCAACTTTTTCACAAAGTAACCTTATCTCCTTCAAAACACTGTCCACTACAACTAATACACTTGCCCCACCGGTACTTTTACTGCTCGAAACATTTTTTGAAGTCTTCCTTAGACATGTCTGACAGCTACTCCCTCGTTTTTCTCTTGACCTTATCAATGTCGTCAAAGCGGCGTCCTTCCATGCCCCTCTTCATCCGTGGAAATAATAAAAAGTTGTCCGGAGCTAGCCAGAAACTGTCGAACAGAAATGGCTGTGTGCGCAGGTGCATTATCGTGATGAAAGAACCAGTCTTCTGAGTGCTACAAATCGGTTTTTTGTCGAAAACTGTTTCGCAATCATCTTAAAATCTCCAAATAGCACAAGCTCTCGAATTTTTTAAACATTTTCGTCGATTCGGGCAGTTGATGCACGTCCAGAGCGAGGTTTGTCATCAATCGATATGTCGCCATTTTTAAATCGAGCAAACCACCCGTACACCTGAGTTTTTCCCATGACATCATCTTTGAAATAGAAAGCAACATTTCACAGCTGCACGTTGCTCACTGAAGCTAGCCGTCGTAAAAAGCGATACAAGCACGAAACAACTCTAGCAAAAATAATGACTGCAGGGGAACGAAACAAGCCAGATCGACAACTCAGGTGGCACTGAACTGGTAATGTGTTGTGCTGTACGCCTCTAGGGACACAGACGTGTGCTACACAAGCTCCGCCTACTGCAATGCTATTCCGGTTATTTTTGAGTACCTCCTCATATATCTATAGTCAACGCCAAACAAAGTGGCGTGCACGTCATCACGATAAAAATTCCCCGACCTAATGCCTAGGTTTCTATCACAAACAATTGCTCTTTTGCAGTTTCATATTAACGTGATATATAAATTGTAAAATGGTCATTACTCTCTTATTATGGTTAATAGTCATATAAACATTGTTATTAAAATATCACATAAGTTGCTTTCAGATAAATTTAGACGCATTATGCGAAATAAAATGTTTTGCAAACGCTCCAATCACTTATCGACATGTAAACACACTAAACCGATTTCGCAGCGTTGACACATTGTCACCTTGAAACTTATTTAAACTGGGAACTGACATTTGTATTAATTTTGACACTGAATCAATTTGTGGCATTTCAAATCTTTATAAATCCTTTGGCCCCGCATACTGTAAATCAACAACTGTTTGTTTCAAAACAAAATTATTCATTTTACGAGTAGATAAAGGCAATTTTGGTATATAAAGATGCCCAAACAGTTAAATAGTCGGTGTAAGGAACTCGTGGCCTCGTTAATGCACTACTTTGAGCAAGAAAGGGACAACAACGGGCCTTTGTTGCCTTTAAATGCTGTTCAAGAGGTAGGTTACTAATAATTATATGTAATGTATATTAATAATAGTGAAATTTTATTTCAGTTTTTGTAGCGTGTTGCTGCTGCTTTAAAAATTAGTTTAAGGACAGTTAGTCGTATTTCCGAGGGTGTGAAAAGTGATGCAAATTTAGAATCGCCCAAGAAAAAGCGGAGTTATATTAAACGTGTAACCAACACAGCGACATTGGATACAAGTGCCATTCGAGAAGTGATCTATAATATGTATCACAAAAGTAAGATCTTATTATAATAACTTATCAGAAATTTGCATTAATTTGTTAACTAAATTATAATGTCATATTACACATGGTTTCAGAAGAACAAGTTACGATACAAACTTTATGGTCTCGATTAAGAGATAGGGCATTATTTGATGGTAGTGCCACGTCTTTAAGGCGGTTGCTTAGAGATCTTGGATTTAAGTGGCTTAAGGACAATCCGCGACGAGGGCTCATGGAACTACCAAGTATAGCTTTGAAAAGGGTGGAATTTCTAAGGCAATACAATCAAGCCAAGGTTGAGGCCTTATACCAGTTTGTCTTCCTCGATGAAACTTGGATATTTCAAAATGGGACCATAGGTCGCTCTTGGCAAAATGGAAACCAAAAAAGCGTGAATGCTATTAAAACAGATGGTAAAAGGTATGTACTTTTACACAATTTGCACTATAAAATTTAAAACTAATATATTTTACATACATTATATTACATGCTGGAAATGAAAATGGGTTTATTGAGGGTAGTGAAGCGATATTTTCTTCGAAAACAAAATTGAGCGATTACCATGGAGAGATGAACCAGGACAATTTTTTGAAATGGTTTCAACATCAGTTATTAGAAAAATTGGAGAGTCCATCTATGATTATACTGGATAACGCCCCTTATCACAGCATGATATTGAACAAAGTGCCCAACAATGCATGGACAAAAAAAATATCCAAGACTGGTTGACAAATCAAAACATACCATTTTTAAACACAATGTTTAAAACAGAGCTATTGAGTATTGTTGCTCGGTACATAATGCTTCTTAATTATATATATACGTATATATATTTTGGTCGACAGTTTATATTTCTTTTGTTTATTCCTATTCTTAAAATAACTGCTTTTTTAGAAACAAACCACCTAAAATATACGTGATTGATGAATTGGCGGAACAACATGGGCACAAAGTTCTTCGTCTGCCTCCTTACCATTGTATATTTAACCCTATTGAGTTAATTTGGGGCATAGCA